GGTGTGACAGCAGTAAGGTGTTTCCTTCAGACAACCAGCATGACAGCGATGCTGCCTTCCCACAAGGAGGGGTGGGGTTAGAAAAGGTCGACCCTAAAAATGCACACCTCGCCTTATCCCACGGATATCCGTCTCCGGCGGTAAGGTCTCAATAAGTACGGAGCTAACACAAAAATTACCCATAACAAGGTCGTGTGTGACCGACCTCAAGCAGTTGTCCCTTGGGCACTGCGGTCACGCTCTCAGGTCACTAAGACCACCTTTAATCCAAATTCCTTTTCAGGTACCTCCAGAAGAACCCTTCCACGGTGTAGGCAACCGGGAAGTGAAAACCGCCCTCATACCTCTAACAGCACTCAAGACCACTGTATTCATAATCAACCTTCCTCTTCAATTCCGATTATTCCTCCTACATGGACTTTCAACATTAAATTTCTTCTCTCGGCTTCCACCTCAAGTGTCACCATAGCCAACGATTCTAGTGCGCAAAATACTGTCCCAGGTCTACTGAAACCTCGCTCCAAACTACACATTGGAGCCTTCAACGTACGAACCCTATGTCAAATCGGTCAGCAGGCTTCCTTGGCTAAAACCCTAGAGTCTCTTACCATTGACGTGTGCTGTGTCTCCGAAACACGCATACAGGATTCCAGTGTGGTCATTCACTTGACCTCACCCCGGCAAAACGGAGAGCCAACGAGGTACACCCTTCGTGTATCTGGTGACCCGATGGCAAATTCTCGTGGACTGGCAGGTGTAGGCATAGCACTAAGCATGAGGGCGGAACAAGCACTGCTAGGGTGGATCCCCGTCAACAGTCGTCTATGTGCTGTTCGGCTAAACGGCTCCGTAAAAACTCGGAAGGATAGGGACACACGTCGTTGCCTTTTCGTCGTTTCTGCCTACGCTCCCACTGACTGCAGCTCAGATGATGTGAAAGATGAATTTTACAGAAAGCTGTCCGAACTTCTTCAGAAAGCTAAACGCTCAGACATAGTACTCGTAGCAGGTGATTTTAATGCTCAGATAGGCAGTTTAAACCAAAAAGAAAGGCATTTAGGTGGATATTTTAGTATTCCGACACAGCAAATCGATAATGGTGATCGTCTGCTGCAGCTATGCTCAGACAATCGTTTATTTTTAGCAAACACAAATTTTAAGCATAAGGAGAGACATCGTCTAACATGGAGACCCCCTACACCAAACCAACGATGGACTCAAATAGACCATATTGCCATCAGTCATCGTTGGAGAGCGTCGGTAGAAGATTGTCGCTCATTCTGGAGTACCTGCTTGGACTCCGACCATGCCCTAATACGGGCACGCATCTGCTTGCGCCTCACTGGACGCAAAAAAGCCACATTAAAAAGACCCGTTAGAACTGAGTTGAGTAACGAGAAAACCAAAAGTAGGTTCCAGGAACAACTGAGGTCACACTTAGGTAGTTATGAAGACGAGGCTGACCCAGATGTTGCTTGGAAGGACATACAATCAGCTGTGGAAACAGCAGTGACATCTATTAGTGACTTAAACCACAGAGTTGCAAGGAACCAGTGGATTTCTTCAAGGTCTGTCACACTGATGGATTCTCGCAAACTCATCCCATCAGGTTCTGAACATGATGAAGAGCGAAAACAAATCATATCTAGGTTAAGAAAAAGTCTAAGAAACGACCGTGAGCAGTGGTGGGCATCGAAAGCAAAAGAGATAGAAAAGGCGGCGACTATAGGGAACACAAGACAGCTTTACAGACTAATAAAAGAAACTGGAATTAATAAGTCAAGTGTAAGTGAGATTATTTCGGAAAAAGACGATACACTCATCTGCTCCCAGTCCAGACGTTTAGAACGATGGGCGGAACATTTTAGAGAACAGTTCAGCTGGCCTTCAGCTACTCTACAACTACCCTCCATTCCCAGACAGTGTGAATGGAACATTGAAGTAGGTCCCCCTACTCTTGCTGAAGTTCAAAAGGCTATAGTTAATCTGAAACGAGGAAGGGCAGCTGGTCCAGATGGATTGGCTCCAGAGGTCTTTAAGGATGGTGGTCCAATTTTAGCGATTAAGTTGACTAATATTTTAGCTAAGATCTGGGAATTAGACTTTATCCCATCTGACTGGTCGCAATCACTTATCGTCCCAATATATAAGAAAGGGTCAAAATCATCCTGTGACAACCACAGAGGGATTAGTTTAACAAACATAGTATCTAAAATACTGGCCTCGATAATTATCAAACGCCTAACTAAGACTCGTGAACTACAAACTCGAGAGAACCAAGCTGGCTTTAGACCTGGTCGTGGCTGCATCGAACACATATTCACCATTCGTCAGGTTCTAGAACACAGGCATACCTATCGGCGTCCGACGATGGTGGTATTTCTTGACTTAAAAGCAGCATTTGACTCGGTAGACCGCGAGACTCTGTAGCAGTGTCTGTCATTGAAAGGCGTACCTCAGAAGTATATAAACCTTGTGAAGGCTCTTTACTCGAACACTACTAGTCGAGTCAGGGCTTATGGCGAACTGTCATCTACTTTTGCAACCTCAAGTGGTGTCCGTCAAGGCTGTCTACTTTCTCCATTTTTGTTTAACTTCATCATAGACTTATTGAGGGAAATAACACTCTCATCGACTGAATTCTCGGGTATTGATCTCCTTCCAGGAGGTCCACTTATCGACTTAGAATACGCAGATGACATAGTCCTGTTTGGTGAAGACGCTGACAATATGCAGAGTCTTCTGGTGGCACTGAGCAACAATACCAGAATGTTTGGGATGCGCTTCTCTCCCTCTAAATGCAAGTTGTTGCTTCAGGACTGGTCTCCGTCAACACCTGAACTAAGGATAGGGAGTGAAGTAGTTGAACGCGTTGACAACTTCACTTATCTTGGAAGTCTGATCAGCCCTAATGGGTTGGTGTCTGACGAAATCTCAGCACGGATTCGAAAAGCTCGTTTGGCTTTTGCCAACTTACGTCACCTTTGGCGAAGGCGAGATATTCGTCTATCAATAAAAGGACGAGTATACTGCGCGGCAGTTCGTTCTGTTTTAATTTACGGCAACGAAACATGGCCATTAAGAGTAGAAGACACCCGTAAGCTACTAGTATTTGACCACAGATGCCTTAGAAATATTGCTGGCATCTGCTGGGATCACCGGGTAAGTAATAGTGAGGTTAGACGCAGGGTATTAGGGAATGATGGTAAATCAGTTGATGAGGTTATGAATCTTCATCGACTGAGATGGTTGGGCCACGTGTTACGTATGCCTGAACACCGATTACCACGACATGCTATCCGGTATTGGAAATGGTTGGAATAAAGTTAGGGGCGGCCAAACCAAAACGTGGCATCAGTGCTTAAAGTCACTAACTTCTAGTCTGAGCCATGTTGGGAGATGCAGACTACTTGGTTGGGGTCCGCGTGACTTTCGTAACCAATGGTTGGAGACTCTTGGTGACATGGCTCAGAATCGATCACAATGGCGTCGGTGTATACACTCCCTGTCTTCCCTTAAACTAAGAGACGAAAATCACTTCATTCTTTCTGTCTACGAACTAATTCTTTCTTCCTATACTATATCCTTATTGCAAACTTTGACCTAACCACTCCTATGAATCCGCTGTTCATCTTGCTGTGCTAATGAGGTATGGCAACCTGGACCGATGCACATATGTGCCTGGTCCTACGTTGTAGCTGACTGACTGACTGATATTCATCTTGAAACAAGATAAGAATGAGCATTAAATTACTATCCGCTTCAAATTTTATACGACTTGTCAATCAAGTACAAGCTTATAAAGTTGTTTGTGTGGCACACGTTTCCGCCTAAAAACTGGCAATATTCAGCTCTTCAGTGTGAGTTAAGAGGGAGAAAAGTTCGAACTCTTGATACAACACTCAAAAAAGGTATTTAAATAATTTAGTCACTATCTAGGATCATTCCTAAGTAGCACCTTAATCAGATATAAACTCAGAAAGCAGTAATTCCAACTGACTGTTTAATTCCCTTGATGAAGCCCACTTGAATGTCGAATGGCAGACCTTTTAAGTTCTAGAAATGGAAGTAATCCAGGCTGACACCAATAAATAGCGCTGACGTTAACCGTTTTCTTTTCTGGATCCACACCTAAAGCAGTGGTTATGCTGTTTGTCACTTGTTAGATAAATACTTGACTTTTAAATACTGAGTTATGGATCAATATTTCGTCTGTTATAAGCGTTTATAAACACAAGTAACATCAACCCAGTTGAATATTAAATGTGATTTGTCGCAAAGATTAGTACGTACATATTGAGAGGTGTTATTTTGATTTGCGAGTAATCACAGTTTAATATTATTGAGAACTTAGAGAAGAAAGAATAAACTAGATTTCTGAGGCGGAATTTTTTTGGAAAATAGGCCGTGTTCCTGTTCTCGAAAACTGTAAGAATGTGCTCGAGCGACTCAATAAATATTACTGATAAGTCCAATCTACTCAGCCAATCAGAATGCAACGGATATAAACAGATGATTTATACTGCTAAAACTAAGATTTTGGTTTAGTACTGCAGTTTACGATTGAGACCCAGGGTTAGGATTAGGTTTTAAAGTTTAGCATTTTGATGCAGATTTTATGAATTAAGAATAGGATCGGTATACAGAATTAATGGCCTGAAGTTACTGTTAGAATATACTTTAGGACTTGAAGTTAGTTAGTATTTACGGCGAATATAGACTAATTGCAAACTGCAACACTTCTTAAATCCTAAACCTCAATCCTAGCTATAGACATGAATCCTTAACTTGACATTCTATTCCTAAACCGTAGCACTAACTCTAAATCGGAATCACAGTCGTAACTAAAGAGTTAAGTATCTATTGACACTTCATTCAGTAAAATGCGTCAAGATGTCTTTGTCTGTTAGATCATTTAGGTTACAATCAATGGGCAACAATCCTACATTGAGGTCATCTATTTCATTATCAGTAGGCAATAGGGTGCTTGGATATGTACATCACGGTCTAACAGCGATTACGACATACACCATCAAATCATAATAATAGCCCAACTTTATCAGGTACATTCTTTGTACTTTTAGTTCACATTGGATAGAAGTCACTGAGACTGATAATAGTAGTTTTATTTTGTGAGTGAACCTTTCATTATTGATACAGTCCACTGTCAGCCCTAGAAAGATCATGGCAGATTACTATTACAGAACGCGAAATCTTACACAAAGAATGTATGTGAGGGTTTTTATTAGGAGCAATAAATAGGAGAGATGCTAATCGTTGTTTCCTTTCATTCGGAAATGATTCTTGCAACTTAAACAGGAGTGATTTTTCATAACAAGTACTCTTACCTATATAAAATCCAGTTCCAAAAGATAGACAGTAGGGCCGTATTTTTGATATGACTGACATTTATAATAAACATTACGATAAATTACCCAGGCATAACAACAGCTGCTGAAAAAACGCGCTCCGAGTATTTACTCGAGCTAGCCGCCTTTCCTCCCTGTATCACTCAATAAACGTTAACGTACTTTAACTACATACGAAGTTGACCTAATATGAAAATTTATGAGAAGTTATTGGTCTGAAGATATTGGTGAATCTTCAGGAGATTCAGGTCCACAGTGTTAAAGTCCGGAATAAAATGATCTCCAAATCACTCTGGATGATATGGGAAACCACTTCGCAGGATTAAAAGTATGATATAAGAATGTTTTCAGTCTGCCAAATAGAATGACAGTGCTCAAAAAAGTGGTAGATTCAGAAAACCTTGATGTCACTGGCATTTCATAAAATGAGTTAACATCAGAATTGTATGATAGTGAAATTTAATTGCTTGGTTTCTGGCATTGTAGAGATGAAGAAGTAAACGGTATTGGTGGCAGGGTTGTCCTGTACATAAAAATTGTACTTTAGCAACGCAATTGGTTAAGGTGAAGACACATGATTCAGAGACCTATGAACTGGAAGGCAGCCGGCTGAAATTTCGAAGGGTAAGACGCTGGTTTATTTATAGGATGCCGTCGTTCAGAATGAGTAATGAATAAATTTTTTAAAAATAAACTCAGACCCTGATAAAACAGGTTAAAAGGCCTTACAATTGATGGCTTATTGCACTCTCTTCATACTAGAGAAACTGAGAAGTTTCATCTAAAACACTTTTTGAAAACAAAATGTTAGAAGCCATGACCTCTTAAAGTTTATTCTGCTGCGTTAGAGATGTCATCAGATATAAGCAGTCATACTCTTCATCTGTCTCAGAGTAAGCATTCACGAAATGTAATGATTCAAGTCAAATAAAGTTCCTTCCACGTGTAGTGAGAATTATTCATTTGGCTATCTAATGCAAATTCATGGCTGATCTAGTTTATCGAGCAGATGCCCCGGTACATCATAACATATGAAAAGACATGCAAAGGTGATCAACTCTACTGACTAGACGGAAAATTAGAAAATTCATTCTGACGCATTGATAGTAGAAACATGGACTTGTAGAATTATGGTCTACTATGATATTAGTACTGCTCTAATAATAAACTTAATCCTAAACTTGTCGATTCGTCATGATATAACTGCCTAATCTATAAGATCTTACGTGGAAGTCACACCATCGACTACACCAACTCACTGTATCGTATCAATTACCAATACATGATGAGGAACAAGGTTAGGCTAGAGAAAGAACAATATATTTAATATATATAGAAGATATAAAGTAACACTGAGATGGACCACGTCTGCATGGACGAGCCATGCCACTCGATCAACTCCAGTCCATTCAATTCATTCTCCGCGCCTTCTCCATTGTTAGGTATTTCCCCGAGTTAAATATTGAATATCTATTTTCTGAGTAGTCTCGTGTTCACAGCTTTGTGGATTGTGTGGCTATTGTCCAATGCCACTACACTACTCTCCCACCAGAATCAACATGATGTTGGTTCGATACCAAATTGGATGGGATCGTCGCGCTTCGGAGGTTACCAAGGATAATGAAGATCCTCCGGGTATTGATAAGCTGAAAGATAAATCAAAAAGAAGGCGGCAGAATCTGGTCGGGAAATACATGTAATAATCTTAAAATATCTGCTTTCATGATTAACACGCTTAAAATGAAAATTTGGTTGAAGATTATTTGAACTATAAAAAATGGGATTACAATAATAATAATAATAAAACGATGCGTGTTAATAAATTAACTTATAGGCAGTAATTATTTTGTGTTTAGAAATATTAAAATAATGAATATTGTAGAAATGTTAATATTGGTATTAGTTTTGGTTTAAATTATGAAATCGGATAACGATTATGCCGGTAAGTTGTCCATATGAGTTGAATTCCAATTGCATCTGTATTAGTAGGCTAACTGAAGGAACAAAAGTATACCGTGGAGAAGAATTCCAACTAGTGTTCCAGTTAGTTTGATACGGTTTATTTAGTTACGGGGAGATTTTCTCAACCTCATTTTTACTTGACCGTGATAGAATTTAGTAATACTACTAATACACATGAACGGTTATCAGAATAAAATTTAAATACATGAGTGATAATTATATGGATTTTGGACAGATAGCTAGGAAAAATCGTTAAACATGAGTGTGTTCGTAAGAGACATGCTCTAGACTCAATGTTCTGATCTGCGATAGACTATTTATTTATATTTATACTTGCCGGCTGATTGGACATACAAGTTAGTTGCAAGTATGCAGTTTATCATAAGGCGGAATACGATTTAATTGAGATATAGTGGTTACAAGTTATTAAAATCAGTTAAGCCTATGGGTCATATTACGAAGTGATGTGGTGCTGCAAGATGTATTTAGCTAAATAAGTTTTTACAAGATGATTAATAGTGAGTGATGCTCATGTGATTATCAGGGAGAACATAAGTTGTAACCAGGGGGAGTACACTCCCAACTCATGTCTATGATAATGGCTTGAACCTTAGTCAGTGTTGGGGTAAATTCGACATTGATGTTTTCAGTTTGCAGGAGATTTGCTCGACTGCTTATACTGATTATTTGCATGCATGATTGTGTCGCTAAACCATCAATTAGACTGACAAGGTTTTGAGATATTTACTGAATGAGCAACTGATAGAGAAACATACTGTAATCATCTGTGATGGATGAAGATACCAAGAAAACAACACCATTTAGTGGTAATTATAAGTCAATTTGTTGACCGATTTCGTTACTAGTTTCATTAATTTTATCAGTCATATTACGTGATTGTCAAGTTATGACAATGCTTTATGACGATATCCTGAAACTATTAAATTTAACTAGTTATAGTGTTGATTAAGGATTAGTCAGTGGAAAAATAGGTATTGTTGCTTTAGGTGATTCAAAATCATCAGAAATTTATAACGTTAAAGAATCCGAGACGCCTAATTTAATTATAAATTTCAATTCAGAAATATTCGTTTAGTGTTCATTCTAGTAGGCTACTGAGTTTTGATTTTAAACGTTTGTTTAGCCAACAGCTACTTGGGGATTTAGTTATTTCACTAGTGCAGTTGATAGTACCTAAATTTTTAATCTTATTATCTAAACTATGTTTGCATTTTAGGCTGCTAATATGATAAACCAATCCATAAACCCAAATACGATTAGCAACAACGACTATGATGGGTTTATTGATAAATGTTAAAGGCGATCCAGATGATTTCTAAATTTATAAGATATGGAGATATAGTGTAACGTATGTATGGGCCAGGTTAACATGCAGGTTGTTGACGTTGAACATGACCAGAAAATAATTTTAAAGTTTAGACTGCTTGTGAAACTTCAGGCAGGAATATGATGCGTTATAAACATTCCATAAGAAGTTACTGCATTTAGCCTAGGGACACTTACAAATATATAGCAAAAGGAACCGGAAAACATATACATGTTAAGTAAAAAAAATCATCCAGTAAAATAGTTGAACTCGCCTGGATTATTTTTGAAAATTAGATTATTCAGTGGACGACATATATAACGCCATTCGTGAGGAGTAGTAATGATCCAAAAGCATCCAGAATAAAACATACAGTATGGCAATCACTTCCAGGGTGCTTGATGCTGTTGAGGTCTTTGGGACTCGCTCTGATCAGAACAACTGAATGAATCCAGATAATTGTGTGTGCCATCTAAAATGAACTTATGATTGCAGAAAACTTATAGCTGGAACTTACCGTATGTTTTTGGAGTAGTCATCCTCGTTGTTTGGCAATGGAACTCGAGAATATGAAATTAGGCAGGCAGTGGTCGGAAGAAAAGATATTACATGATAGTGTATAGTTTAAAACAGGATGAGGTAATAAGATAAGGAACACTGAATATTAGATCCAGATAACTATTTAGTCCTTGATCGCATTGTTAGTCAATGTATATTTACGCTATTTACAGGTCATATTTGCTAGAGCTTGATGTTTAAACAAGACTATGTCGCTGAAGCATGTAAATGCTATTACAGCTTGTTAACAACCAGTTTTTATTATCGATTGAGCTAGTTTGTCATGAGGACTAATCAATATAACATTACGATAATGCATGTGAGCATTAATCAGAGGACTATTGGAATACAGGGTTAACATAAATATAAAATCGATCGAGAAAGTTGAAGTGGAAATAAGGATTAATAATAATAGGTTGCGTTTCTTTAGTTGGGCTCACCAATGTAGAATTATGGTCTACTATGATATTAGTACTGCTCTAATAATAAACTTAATCCTAAACTTGTCGATTCGTCATGATATAACTGCCTAATCTATAAGATCTTACGTGGAAGTCACACCATCGACTACACCAACTCACTGTATCGTATCAATTACCAATACATGATGAGGAACAAGGTTAGGCTAGAGAAAGAACAATATATTTAATATATATAGAAGATATAAGTAACATGAGAGGACCACGTCTGCATGGACGAGCCATGCCACTCGATCAACTCCAGTCCATTCAATTCATTCTCCGCGCCTTCTCCATTGTTAGGTATTTCCCCGAGTTAAATATTGAATATCTATTTTCTGAGTAGTCTCGTGTTCACAGCTTTGTGGATTGTGTGGCTATTGTCCAATGCCACTACACTACTCTCCCACCAGAATCAACATGATGTTGGTTCGATACCAAATTGGATGGGATCGTCGCGCTTCGGAGGTTACCAAGGATAATGAAGATCCTCCGGGTATTGATAAGCTGAAAGATAAATCAAAAAGAAGGCGGCAGAATCTGGTCGGGAAATACATGTAATAATCTTAAAATATCTGCTTTCATGATTAACACGCTTAAAATGAAAATTTGGTTGAAGATTATTTGAACTATAAAAAATGGGATTACAATAATAATAATAATAAAACGATGCGTGTTAATAAATTAACTTATAGGCAGTAATTATTTTGTGTTTAGAAATATTAAAATAATGAATATTGTAGAAATGTTAATATTGGTATTAGTTTTGGTTTAAATTATGAAATCGGATAACGATTATGCCGGTAAGTTGTCCATATGAGTTGAATTCCAATTGCATCTGTATTAGT